AGCCGCATAAATCACAGTTACATATTTACTTAAAGCATCTTCAACATACATTTATATTTGTCTCTATAATAGTATTTAGAGACAAGATCAATCTAATCGTACTATATTTCTTTCCCTATAATAAACATTGCTATTTTCACCTCTATATTTAGAGGAAGAAATAGCATTCCTCTATAATAGAGGCATATTTTTTTTCTTCACAAAATAATTCTTTCACTTTTTACTTTAACAATTAAAACCAAAAATAAATATTTTTAGTGAAATTTATTGTTTATATAAATATAATCATACTTATCATTTACATAATATTTTTTAAAAAATATTCAGCGTAAATAATATCATAATTTTATGAAATGTTAAAATACATTGGGTTAATTTTCAACTTTCACAAATAAAAGGTATTATTTGTAAAATTAAAAAGAATATGTCAAGAATATTTAATTTTAGAGGAAGAAATTGAGAAATACATTGAAAGCAAATTTATCTCTATTATAGAGCTTCCCTATTGTAGAGGAAAAAATAGAGGAATATATTAGAGTTGAATATATCCTTTAACTCTCGATTGTATTTGTAGGCTTCTTTTCTTGTTGAGCAAATATATATGTTGTTTGTAGTCAAATACTATTTTTTTCAGATCCAGAAGTGTACATAATACTAATACTCAAATTATAATATAGTAAATCTATTAGTGAGACATGAATTTTTTTTTTAAAAAAATTAGCTTCTAGTTTAAGACAAATTAGCATGATAAAAAATGATTTGAAGAGTGAGACATAAAATGTGTTTCAAAGAAAAAAAAAATAAGAGTGAGACATAAAATAAATTACTAGATAGATTATCTGACTAGGCTTCGTCCACCTATCCTTCCTCGACACACTCTCTCTCTGGTGTGCACTTGTTATCTACATTGAGTCATATATATACACAGCACACATGCACCATTCAGTGCTAATTATCATCAAATTTGAAAAGAAAACAAATATATCATTATGCACTCATTTCTTTTGGATGTAAAACACACCCAAACTTTGGGTCTAGTAGTTTCATATTGTGACAAATATGGTTTTCAAATATTGGTAGATGTGACGTCTTCATGACTTCTACAGCGCAAAAGTATAGATTAGCTAGTCCGTAATTATTCCCTTAATAATAAGAACACCAATAACAATGTTAATAGAGGGGAATTCTATATAGGGTAACTTATTAATATACAAGTATTAAAACCCCTAAGCAACGCATAAAGCTTTGAAACTTACTAGTATTAGTCTATTCACCAACAGTGTGATCCCCACGCCACGACTGTCTCATGATTATTGAAAAGCATTCAGGCAATGCATAAACACCCAAATGTGGAAAAGATCATGCATGAGCTTACTGCGTCGCCCACCTCGACTCTGTGGCACTCCAAATGTGGAAGAAAAGAGTTTAGTTCTTCACTGGGGAGCATGAAGAGAGCTTTGTTCTAGGTTCCTATACATGGATCTACTGGTCGATCTATGAGCTGCTTTGCCTCATCGAACATAACGAGTTATAATGCTTTGACGTGTGATTGTAATTGTATGATCTAGAACCAAGAGAGTTCTCCCAGTAAAACTAAGTCAATTATTATTATAATAAACTGATATATCTTTTGTATACACAAAGGTTGGCATGTCATGTGGTACTAAGGGATCAGTGAACTATTTCGTATGAGAAGAAGCCTTAGCTATACAGTGATACGAACGAACAGGTTATGGTGTGTTATTGATATCCTTAAAGATAGTTATCACTTCTTACTTAGTCTAAGTCGCTACTAGATACCTCTTCTTCTGCCAGCTCAAATGCATCGACCTCTGCAAAGTAAGCTCTCTGCTTCTCGATATAATCCTGAGAAACTCCATTAGACACATTATCTTCCTCATGCTTTACCGTTCTCTGCTTCTGTAATGTAACCATATATACATATCTAGATTAGGAGAGTACGTACAAGGCTCGTCAAAATAGATACAAGTTGCATATATCTCATTAAGCAATTTCATAAGACTTCTAAATCCACCATTTAAATAAAAACTAGACATCCATCGTCCAACTATGTGTAGCACTGGTTTTCATATAAGATGGCTTGACTAATCAATCTTGAAACATATGATACACTGATATAAAATTTGCTAGAGCCAAACAACCGGTACACCTAAAAGATGACTATTGTTTTCACAGAAAGATGAGAGCAGCACAGAACTATAACACTTGTGATAAGTATACATAGCTAGAGCGTTCCTGAATTCACCTTTTTGGGAGCAACTTTTGAGGGCTTGGGTTTATTTTCATCTGCTTGATGTCTTTTCTTCCTGTAACAACAACACGCTTGAATTTAACACAGGCCAAAGTGGTTAAAAAATTTGGTTGGCATCAACCCTAATTTCAATTATACCGTCTAGAATCTAACCACAAGAAGCCAAAAACAGCATCAACACGTTAAGTAGCATTTAATATATTCTACCCTAACTCCACATGTCCATATCTATACCATTACTTATTATACCAGATTAGATGGCCATAATAGGTGCAACACTAATAACAGTTATCTAATCTAGATTCTTAACACTATAATTTAAGTAGCATGTACTAATGTTCTACCCTGATTCCAGATGTCCATAGTTAGCATTAGACAACAATCATATATCACCGAATGAGTTTCATACCCAGGGCTTGAGATCAAGTCAAGACGAAGGCGAGACACTGCACTAGAGGAAGTTGCTTCTTTACTCTTTTTTCCCTAGAAACCTTCCTTCCTTCTAACCGTGTAAGACTCAGCAACCGCCTTGTCACCAACAACGCCTAAGCATATAAGACAATTAATTAAAATCACCAAGTTTGAATCGAAAACCAGCTTGCTAATCTTAAAGAAACATGGTGATGAGTTTTCTTCCACTATAACAGGAAACGTGATCAACAAGTATGAATCTAACGATTCTTCCCTTTAATTCCGTAGACAACACGTATATCAAGTATCACGAATCTTATAAAAAAAACCCTAGCGTTGCGCACAAAATCAACTCAACTGAAATTCAATTCAATTCGATATACTATAACCAAATTTCGACCAGTTACCCTCACCAGAGCGCGAATTTCCGGCGACGAGAAGCCTTCGGGGCGAGTTACAGGCCTAACGCTCGTGGAAAGAGACTTGGAAGCGGTTACGACACCATCATCCTTAGAGTTATTGACATCTTCGAGTTTCTCCTTGGGAGAAGTCTGATCTACTAAGCTCTTGAGTTATCATACTCAGTGATGCTCATAGTTAGTACCTTGATATTATATACATGAAGCTGAGATGATGTTCATATTAAATAGTACTATTTTAATATAGTTTATTCTAAATGTTCACAATATATTAATTGTTAAAACAATTTCATTAAAAATCACTTTAGCGATAAATATCTTAAAATAACACAACGTTAAAGTATATATTGCAAAAGAGTTCCCGAAAAAATAATATAACCCCTGTTCGTGAACGCAGAACTCAGTGGTTGCGTCAAAAAAATGTATAGTGAACAAGACAGAAATCAGAGTAACTTGACGCAGCGGCAATCCTGATGGACTTCCAGAGGCACAAATAATGAGAAGCTGATGCCGCCGTTATTTCCCGCGTCCGTTTTATCCTCCGTTTGTTGCCGCTGCGACTGTAAAATCAGTTAGTTTAGCTTCACCTGTGCCGTGTGTTGTAGTCCTCAAAGCTTAATTTTTTTGATGCTGCCGCTGCTTTCCGCGGTGATGAAACGAACATGGGTATACTATGTCCATTTTAGCTAATATAACAGTTACAAAACGAAATGATTAGAGCATCTTTATCACTGATAAAAAGTAGAGTTTTTAAAGAATTGTATGGTCTAGGTCTCCACAAAAAACAGAAGAGCATGATTATCCTTAAAATCTCTAAATGGATTTCTAAATTTTTTTTATCTGATTAAAAAAATAATTAAAAAGTGAACTAATTGCAGGACACTCTAAGACTCAGTTCTTCCGTGTGCAAAATAAAGAACGTTGTTTTTGATTTTCGCACAGTTTGTCAGTTTGTCAGTTCTATTGACACATAATAACTCGCAATTAATTAATTTTTAATGTTTTTTAGACAAAAAAAAGAAAAAAATCAAATAAAAACTCTTAAAGTGAAATTGTACGATAAAGGTGCTCTTAAATCCATTCCATCAGCCGTTACCATTCAAAACTTGAGAAACTGTTTTAGTAGATTAATATTATATATTCTATATTCTTATTCTACATGACATTCTTTTGAAACCTTAACAAGGAAAAATTTGTTGTAAATTTATTTTGACCAAATATTCTTTACATTGAAGGGTTTATTAGTGAAATAGCTAAGAAAAAAAAAGAAAAATTAGTTTTTCAGAGAAAGAATAAAGAGAGATAGGAAGAAAGAAGAAGAGTGAGAGTGTGAATTTGTTTAAATTATGAGTTTTTATGTGATTATACAACCTAATTTTCGTACATTAAATATATATGTAAACTTAGAATGATCCAATAGAAAACAGAAAATACTGTTTACAAAAAAAAGAAAAAAAAATATTATAGGAGTTAGGTACACTAAGTTAAGAAATAGATAGAATATGAAAAAAAACTCAAGGTACTACAAATAGGCAAGTGTGGTACACCAAGACCACACAATGAATGCTTCATTCCTTTGTCCTTATATACTTTCGGTTAATGGAATTAAAAGCTGGTAGTCTTTTTTTCCACGTTAGGTGTTAGTAACCTTCCTAAAGTTCTTTTTCTTCATTCTATTGGAATTAGTATCGGTAATGCACTAACTTTTAATGCTTTCGTTTGCCTTACGCAAACTTCATTTCCTCATCTTCCTCCTCCCAATATTTGTTTTCTTGTGTTGCTATAAATAATCAAGAACACACCATCTTACTTCTCATTCTACAAACAAACATCGCATTTCTCATTTTTATCTAATTTGGATAACCGATCTCAAAGGTTTTCGGTTCGTTTTATCTACCTGTAGCCATGTCTCAGGTAGTTTTGCCTTTCATCTCTCCTTTTTCTTCTATTTTTTATCTCGGCTTTCCACACAACGATGACTTCAAGCAATAGATGTCTTTTCATGTTCGTTGCCAAAAGATGCTAACAGTTCTTTATGATTAACGTTCATCAATTATTTAGTAAATTGCCGATTCAACCGATACATATGGACGACTAGTATTTTCAAACTAATTGATAATAAATCATGAAATAGAATAATTGGTATAGGAACTATCTGTATTTCAAACGTTTGAGTGTCAGTTTAAAGTCTTTAATTAAGATGTTGGAGTTTATTTGTTAAAATAGAATTAAGCTTAAAACGTAAATTTTAATTGTTAATTAATGAAAAGCCGTTTATGTATTACCAATACATGCAGACCGTTGTCCTCAAAGTTGGCATGTCATGCCAAGGGTGCGTTGGTGCCGTCAATAGAGTCCTAGGCAAAATGGAAGGTATTTTCTCTAAATTTTATTTCATGTGTATGTTATATATTTATACACACATATATATTCTACTAAACCTTTTACAATATATAAAACAATTTCAGGCGTTGAGTCATTTGACATTGATATAAAGGAACAAAAGGTGACAGTGAAAGGTAAAGTTGATCCCGAGGCAGTATTTCAAACAGTTTCAAAGACTGGAAAGAAGACTTCTTACTGGCCCGTGGAGGCTGAGGCGCCTAAAGCCGAGGTTGAGCCTAAGGCCGAGACTGAGACAAAACCTGAAGCTGAGAATAAGACTGAGGGTAAGGTTGATGCTGATGCTAAAGTCGAGGCTAAGGCTGATGTTGAACCGAAACTTGAAGAAACGGAGACTAAGACTGAGGCTAAGGTTGATGATGAGGTACTTGATGCCAAGGTTGATGCTAAGGTCGAAGCCAAGGCTGATGTTGAACCGAAACTCGTTGAAGCCGAGACTAAGCCACCACAAGTTTAAGAACTAAAGATTGTAATGATGCTTTCGATCCTTATTTGCAAGGCTTCTTATTATCTTACGTTTATGTGTTCTTGTAAGAACTAAGAAATGTAACTGATACAAAAAAACAAAAAAAAGAAATGTAACTGATAAAAAATGTTTTCTCAAAACAATATGTTGGATGTACTCGACTTTCTATAAGCTTCAATTTAACTGAATATAGAAATCAGAAATCTTAAGTTTGGACTTAACTAACTCAAGCAAATATATGATATATGGAAATTTGGACACTAAAAAGGTGTAAGAAGAATTGGTCTTAGATTAAGGAGGGGCTCATGGATTTTAAGTTGAACTCACTTCCCCTTTTTCTACTAATGCAAGCTTAATATTACGTGGTCATGAGCTAAAAATATATATTAGAGTTTTTGATTATCAAACTAATTATTGAAATTAAAATAAGTCAAAATTTTAATATGTTTAGTTATTATTCAAAGATAATAACAATGTAAATGTAACATATAATTTTGAATAATATTACTATCCGCGCAAACACCTATATATATATATATATTAGGGTCGGTCCATTCTACGGTGGAATATATTTTATTTGTGACCTATGTTACTAATTTGTATGGTTTGTGTTTTAGGTTTGCATTTGCAAGAGCTGTATATGATAATGATTGTTGTCTATTAAAATAACTTTAAGTGAGAAATTATATAGTTGTTTATATATTAAAGAGTTATGGTATTGATATGTTGTGAAAGATTCAAAAGATATTTAACATTTTGATAATGTATAGATTTAGAATATGAAATTATTTGTAATTTAACTAAATTGAAATTTGTATATGCTTTTTAGTGGTTAATACTCCTAACTATTATATCATTTCTGGAAATTTTCATTTACTTCGAATAGGTTTTTGAAAAGTAGTAAAATACATACCTGCAATGAGTAATAAGTTGTATCTTAAATCTGTAGTAGTTTTTCTTTTTATTTGCACAATTCTTCATCTTCAATGGGTGTTTATTTAGTTTGTCAAACTTTTTTTTTTTCAAACGTTATATGTAAATTTTCATAAAACTACCAAGCGACATGCGTGTGAAGGAGACTATCTGAACCCCACAACTTATTATTCATTAGCAAGGAAAATGAGCATAAACAGATAGTCTAAAATATTGAATAAGTCTTTCACAAAATTTAAAAATAGAATAAGTTGTGTTTTTTTTTCTGTTGGGATGTAGCCAATAACAAATGTGGGGCACTAGACACCATCACACCAAAAGCGATTGAATATGGTAAACCCATCATTTCATTGATTTCGGTGACAATTTCTTTAGTTGATCCTTGTGTCATTGTTGTTGCTGCTGGAGCTCTTTCCTCATGGTTGGGCTGTAATATCTTTAAACTTCTGATAACCAAGATTAAATCTGAAAATTTTTAGTTCAAACTAAGTAAGGTGAGAACTGGTTGAGAACAACTATGTGCTTGTGATTTATGTTTTAAGGTGATCCCACACCAGCTCAAACACTTGATCTCTTTATTCCAAGAACTATTTAATGACACTATATCATATTGGAGAAAGAAAAGGAAAAATCTAATAATATTAATACATAGTATTTTTAAAAGAAATCTTAATTACTAAACTATATTTAATGTAGTCATTTTCTTATTTAATTTCTGAGAATGATTTACGTTACTTGACAAAAATAAAACTACATTAAGAAAAGATTGATATCTTCTATCAAATTTAGAATATTTTAATCGTAACAAAAATGAATATTTATTTCATATTTCAGAAATCATATACTTAAGGAATATTAAAAAAAGAAGAAGAATGCAAAAGAGATATTAATGGAAGGTCTTACATAATACGTAAATCATGTTTCTCTCTCTCATCTCCATTACTACTCTCTTCTCTCTATTTTTTCTACCATCATAAATGACTTTCTTAGTCTCCGCTTTCAGCATCTTCCTCTTCTCCCTTGCTTCCGCAGTGCCGCTCTCCTCATTATACCCTGATGTAATCTTTTGTGGTGGTTGGGTCTCTCTCTCATAGGCGAGACTCTGTAGCTGATCGGAGCTTACATGGCGAAAAATCCTGAGCCTTTCATCGATGAGATTGTTTCCTAGTATGGATTAGTTTTCATGATGCATATATTTGGTGAATTGATATTATTCTCAGCTGACTCGGAAACAAACCGGTTTGTTGTTCAACAAAGGAAATCTTCTCGAGTGTTCTCATCTTGTCTCCCTTCAAATTCTAAGAATTGAGTCATTTTGTATTCTATTTCTGGTGTTTGTCTTTTGGATGATTACAGTGATTGAGAGGGAGAAAACGATGAATTTCACGAAGCTTACTTCCTTATTTATAGGTACAGACTCACAACCATAGAAGGTAGAGTGTATTGAATGCAGCGTAGTCAAAGACGATGATTCAGTGGTGTTAATGAAAACGTTTATTAGGTTGACTGAATGCAAGATTAAGCCAATACGCCTCTGGACAGTGGTTGAATATCAATCGATACGACAAAGAGGATGGCTTTATAGAGCGAGCAGAAGATTAATTTTTGGCCCAATAAAACTAGACAGCCCAATGTGTCGGAGGCTAATGTTACCTAACTTGTCGAAGATACATTCTTAAGAGAATGAACTGTCATGTTTTTAGGAAGTGATTTAGTGAAGTAGTATCTTTAGAGTGAGGAAATTATAAATTAAATTTGTTTAAAATATTAGTTTATACATCTAGGTTGAATTTAAAAATTGATATAGTTATAGTAGTATAACTACAATTATCAGTTAGGTTATTCTTAAAAAAAATATGATGCATTCTAGGTTTATGGTTTTAAAATAATAAGTCAATTTATGTATTTTTAAAACAAAAAAATGATTTCAAGTTTTTTAGGCGTCTAGTAAGATTTCTTTTTTCCAATTTGATTTGTATGTGAATGCATTATTGAGCTTTTTTGGATCCAATATCCATATTTTTTATATTAATTAACTTTAGTTGTTGGCTTATTTATGGACTTAAATTTTTGACTTCAATTTTATTTGGTGCATAAAACGAATGGATAACTAAACTAAAAAGAAAAATATATATCTTTGCAGTTTTATTCTCAGCCTACTATCATCTTCTTTTTCCTTTCACCACTTCACCGCGTCTTTTTCTTCATCACCTCACCACATATTTTTCTTCATCACCTAGTTTCCCTCTCCATCTAATTCTGCTTCGTCTTGCTCTCCTACTTTTTTTCTCCATCGATTCATATTATTTACTGCTTCAGTTAATAGATGTAATTTGTTTCTTTCACTTTTCTTCTCTTTTTTTTATACTTGATAAACAGGGATGATTCACACTTCATCGACGTAAAGTGACAGTTTTTTCTGCATGGTTAAATTCTATACATTTTCTCAATCTGAAAAATACAGAACATCAATAACTTAACCGATTTTCCGGAGTGACCAAAATCGTAGGATTAGGTGTGATCATTTGGAGTTTTTGACAGAAACGAAGTGTCTAGAATTTAATCAACTGATGTGGATGTTATGGGATCTATCCTTGCTCGTCTCAGTTTAGTTGGAAGAAGAAAAAGTAGGATGGCGATATTTGTTGGACTCACAAAATAGTTACGAATAACTCATTTAACAAACAGCAGAAGTCCATCTGTGAAACCAAAAGAAAACAAACGAAAAGAAAAATAATAGAGTTGGACACGTGTCATGCCGAGATGAAATGAACTAATGACGTGGCAGTATAAAAAGAGGGAAAACTCTTCTTGATATAATAAGATATAACACACCAAAAACTTCTGAAGGAAACCAAACGTAAGATATTGAAGACAAGACATCAGTTAGTAAGAAGATATTCTTAACATCACATTCTCATTGTCATCGATCATAACAAGCATGCAAAGCATAACATAAAGATATTTCAGTTATTCACCAATGTGAAAAGAGCCATATGTGTATTAATAAATAGATATCCTTCGAGAAGTTGAAGAATGCATTAGAACATAGCATAAAGCCTTCATTGAAGAAAATAAGATAGAAATAACAAATCATATTGAATCCAAAACAGAGTTTAAGAGAGATAAACACGTCAAATGTCTTCATACACAAAACTCAAAAACCTTTTGACATAAAAACAAAGTAGTCAGATTGATAAAAGGATAACAACTCTGCATTGTGGAAACCAAAATTTGCACTGTCAATTTCTGTAAAATAAGGAAACTTAGGAAAAATCCTAATTCTCCAGAGGTCTCGGGTCTTTACGGAAACACACTAAAACAACAAAAGGATAAACATAATATAGATGAAGATATTGCGTAATGGGTATCATTGATATAAGGATAAATCAAAAGATCGAGAGCTGTTACAGCAAAGAGAATTAAGAAGATTAGACAACCAAAGTGTTCTAAGTATCTGACTTGCTAGTCTAGCCGCCTAAATGCTAAATTCATCTTGGCTTTGACCTTGTGCTTATATACTCTTCCTCTAGGCGGTTTGGTCTTTGTTTTTCCGCCCCGATTCGTGTCTATCCGAAATCTTCCATTTATCTCGGTCTTCATATTTATCCTTGGAAAACTTCTATTTTATCTCCAAACTTGACATTTATCTATTCTTGCGAATAACGGGTAAACCTTCATCATATATTTTAGCTGAATTTCATCTAAAGTCGTAAGTGGGCCTTTATCGCGTTAAAGGACTTTCCGGGCCACTTTGCGTTTTAGCCGTTTTACGATTTTAGACGGGATCATTCCATGATACGATGTCATTTTTATAAAACAACTCGAGTCAATCGTTTAGTTTGGTAACCTTCGGTGTTTTGTTTAACCGTTGCCATTTTATACGATTTACTCGAGTCTTTACGAGAAAACAAGTCTTTAGCAGTTTTATCGTAAATTTCCAACGATAATACAGATCGAGACGAAACAAGAGATGTTCCAACCATGCCTCAGAGTATGATCGAGTCAAAGGGCATATGCATTGTGTTCGTTCGACCAGCGGTCAACGGTGCGGACGGTAAGGCCAACTCGCCAAGCCGACGAGTCGGTTTCGGTCAGCTCGCCAAGCCGGCGAGCTGGATTGGCCTGGCCAGCTCGCCGTCTTGGCAAACTGATCGGTCTTGGTCAGCTCGCCAAGCCAGCGAGCTGGATTGGTCTTTCCAGCTCGCCGTCTTGGCGAGCTGATCAGCCTTGGTTA